AGAGAGAGAGAGAGAGAGAGAGAGAGAGAGAGAGAATAATGGTCATTTAGTGCATAGGGGGAAAAGCAAAAAAGACAGATATGAACAAAAGGGCGAAGGAGCAGACAAAACTAAGGCCTACCAGAGAACTAAGAATAACAACAACAAGAAAACCAGTGAATCACCACAATGTGGCTTTTGTAAAGGCCACTTGGGGTACGGACATTCATGAATGAATCGACGGTATTTCCCCCTGCCCCATCCTCATCTCAACTATTACCATTTCAACGCACCAATCCCCCACACAAACAAGTTTTTTGTAGCTTTAGTAAAAGTTTAACGGCACTTGCAACACAATACGGTCATATAAGTGCCGAAGATTGAAGGTGTTACAAGAGAGTAACATGATACACAAAAAAGGAGGAGAGATAAAGACGATAGATGTTAGATAGGAAAGAAAGAGCGAACCACACCAGAGCACACACCAACCACCCACATACAAGTTTTCCGGTACTTACAACTCAATCAGGTCATATATAAGTGTCGAAGATTTGATGTGTTACAAGCGAGTAAGAAAAACAAAGATAAGGACGATAAATGTTTGATAGAAAAGAAGGAGTAAACCACACCAGAACACCCGCTGGTACGAGTTTGCTAACAATAAGAATACCAAAGGACCCCCCCCCCCGTGTTTTCCCCACAGTAAAAACAAAATAAACATAAACAGCAGCAACAACAAGAATAGCTAAAAATATCCCATCATAGGCAACTTCAGTTGAATGAATACGTGAATTGGGATTTTCCTTCTCACCTCCCCATCATCAGTTCGACGTACCAATCCTCTTTCCCAAACGACCCCTGCCCCCTTCCTTTTTTTCTTCACAGTAAAAATAAAGCAAACACAAACAGCAACAACAAGAAAAGCGAACAATCATATTATTAGCCATTTCAGCTGAAGTCCTGCGTGAGTCGGGGATTTCCTTTCTCCCCTCCCCATCACGACTTCAATCAACGCACCAATCCTTTCCATCATCTAAACGAGACTGCATGAACCTAGTGACGGACGAGACGGGACTGAGAGATGTA